TCTAAATTATAAAATTAATAATAATAATATAAAAAGAGTTTAATTTAATAAAATATTAATAAATTTGAGTAGTTACAATTATTTTATATTTTTAATATTTAATATATTAATTATTTTATAATTTTATGAGATGAAAATAATATTATCGTAAAAATATAAATATTTAAAATAATATTTAATTTTGAGTTATTAAAAAATAGATCTTATACATTAAAAATAATATATTTGTCTACTCCAGATCACAATATTATTATTCATGTTATATTATATTTTATATAAATAAATATGATGTATTTAAAATTATAAATTTAGTATACTAATTATATTAATTATATGTTAAATGTATTTTTATTTAAACTTATATAGTGTAATAATCAAAATATTTTTATAAATTTTCATTCAAATATTTTTATAAATTTTCAATCAAATATTTATAATTCAATATTAAAGTTTTATTTGTTAAAAAAATATATATCACAAAGATAATTTGGTAAAATATGCATCAAAGTAATCTTTTATTCTTCTAACTAAACACTATAATATTACATTTCTGCTAAGAAAACCAAACAAAATAATACAATATTCTCAGAGTAATATTACATTCCAATAATCTTATTTTCAAATGTAATATTACATTCTGTTAACCAAACGTGTTATTAACGCTTTGGGTCTACTAAAGTTAGTTGGGTTTTTATATTATTATTACCACTAGGGCCGTGGCAGGGTTTTCGAGGGCCATGTACAAATTCGTATAAATGGGCCCCTATTTTCTAGATATATTCGATTTCGGGGAAATAATAGTGGCGTTTTCTTGACAAACACCGCAATAAATCCATCTATAATGGCGTTTTATCAATAAAGCCGCAATAATAGTGGCGTTTTATTGAAAAAATGTCGCAATAGGTCTATCTATAATGACGTTTATTTGTAAAACGCCACTATATTTTTTTTTGGACCCCTTTTTTGAGGAGACCTGCGCGATCGCGCAATTTGCGTCCCCAGCCACGGCCCTGATTACCACAACCACCGTCATTATTATTAGACTACCATTGTTCACACATTCTAATCTCTATTGATATTTCTGTAATTGCCTACTTTTATTAGTTTAATTATCATTCCAGAACAGAAATTATGGTACTGTGCTAATTTAACTGGAACTAAAATCACGTATATTATATAATGAAATGTTAAATTACACATTTCATCATTTAACTTTCTTATCATTCTTATTTTGTTTACTAAAAAAGATTTTTTTTAATTTGACCATTGATTTTTATCACTCAATTAATTTACTAGCATAATGATGACATGACATTTTAAAATTAGATTTTATTCTCACTTATACATGTTTTTGACTTTCTAATTTTCACTTTTTTCCTTATTCAATATATTTTATTTTATTCTCCCATAATCTTGAACACATTTCTCAACCCCCCAATTAAATTCTAGCTCGCACTAAAAGTCCTAATGTAAGAGTTTATGTTAAGAGAATAAACGTATAAAATTTTAAAGGGAGATAAATTTATAAAATTTAAAGACAAAAATAGATTTTCAATAAAAAATATAAAAATATCTAAAATATTTAAGTGTCGCGCCCCAAAATCAATGTTAATAAGGGGTGTACCAGAATTTTTGGGTACCAAAATTTCGACCCGTGTCCCGACTAGTAAAACCCGGGTATCCGGTTCATATATTTTTTTTTTTTATTTTTTTAAATTATATTATTTTAAAAAATATATAGAAAAATTTAAAAATTTAAAAATTTAAAGGTCTATAATATATATTTTACAAAAAAAGTTTAAAAAATAAATTACATAATTAAAAAATTATTAAAAATTAAAACAAAAATTATAATTAAATTTTAAATGTTTCGAAGTTAAAATAAATATTTTAAAAAATAAGTTAGAGTGTTAATGTGAAATAATTTAAGAAATTAGGAATTTAGAATGCTAGAGTGAAGTAATTTGAGAATTGTAAATAAAAAATTAATATAAAATAAAATAAAAATAAATAAATATATAATAAATCGGGTAATGGGTCAGCGGGTACCTGGTTAAGCAAAATTTTGTGACCTGAGCCCGATCCGGAAACCCAAAAAATTTAGTGGGTCGGGTACCCGACCCGAAAAATCGGGTATTTTCAATATAAATACCTAGTTAATATTTCAGTTTTGATAATTCAAAATTTTTTGTTGGTTTAATTTTTAAATTGAATAAATGCGAACTTTTAAAGATACTTTCCGAAAATCATAGAAATATTTGGGGCATTTTCTTATACTCCAAAAGCTTTGAGGATCTTTTGCGTGATTAACCCGTAATGAATTTGAGATTCCGTATCCTGCTTAGCTCTAATCCACCGCCCATTTTTCCTCTTATCTATTTTTATTTATTTATTTTAATGTTTATTATGGGATATTGTTTGATTGTTTTTTTGAACAGTATTGCTTAAGAGGATATTGTTATTATTATCAATATATTAAGTTAACAGAACTATATTTTTGGATTAAAAACCCTATAAAGTTATTGACGTGAGCTTTAGTTTTGTTTTCAACCTTACGCCGCCACTCTTTAGAGCCAGCCGATCCATTCTCGTGAAATTAATATAGTTACTTATATCAGTCATCACATCTCCTTTTTCCTTGAATTCTTTTATGAAATTTGTTTTAATCCTGTTAAATAATTTTCTATTAAATCTGGAATTAAAAATAATGTTGATCAATGTCATGTTGATTTATCTGATTCCATGCGTGTCTTTATCTATGTTAATATGATTTTTGTTTTGTACTACTTAATTTATTGATTGGTTATCAAACACGTTTATGATTTATCTGTGACGTGTTTGAATAACGTTTCTTGTTCTGTGACTATATGTAATGGTGCTTGCTTCTAAAAGTATTCTGATTTTTGTATCCCGTGCCTTGCGTTGTCTTGTTTAGAGGTCTACTGCTCTTGTTTATGTGATTCATTGCATTCTGTTTGGGGTTCGATTGATTGCAGGTTCTGAGGAATGCGTCTTGTGAAACTTAGAGGATGGTTGGCTAGTTAAGAGTTTACTAGTTCATGTCTGCATTCAAGTTTGTTTGTGATACTGAATTTGTTGGGTATGCTTTTGTGATTTCCTGAATACATTGTTTGCCCGCATAATTTATGATAAAGTAATAACTATATAAATTATTTGAAAATTTATTTGTTAAATTTTTTTTAATATCACTTCGGTGATCAATATAATCTTTGGATTCGACCATAACGTCAAGATCGGATCTTGAAAGGTTACAATAAGAATTTAAATTTTTTAGGCGAGGACCGTCACCTCACAATCCATCATGCTAAAAGTATCAAACTCATCACTTTTATCATCAAAAAACAACTGTCGTTACTAAATAACCTTCAGATTAATGTGTATTAGTTTATTTTTTTAAGGTAAACTACTTAGTTGATCACTTAACTATTTATCCCTTTTATTTTTACCATCGATCTTTTAATTTTGTCAATCACACCACTTAACTATTTGATTGTTTCAATCGAGCCACTAGTCGTTAACAGTGACAAAAATAATGATGTGGCCGTTAAAAACCACTACTCATTTGACAACTTAACTATTTAATTATTTCAATTAAGCCACATAACTATAATTATGCCAATTCCATTTAATTGTCACATCATCATTTCCGTCAACAGTTAACGGCTAGTAGCTTGATTGAAACAATTAAATAGTTAAGTGGTGTGATTGATAAAATTAAAAGATTGATGGCAAAAGTAAAATGGCTAAATAGTTAAGTGGCCAACTGAGTAGTTTACCCTATTTTTTAATGATAGAATAAATAAAGAGGGTGAATAAATCAAAGTGAAGGTTGAGATGATAATAATATTTTCATTGAAAGATCTTTATCTTGGAGTAAGGAGGATAAGAATTTATTTCATTTCAATAACCCCAAATAAATTTATTTGATTACACGTGGAAATAATAATAGTGTAGCATTTCATTCTAACGACAGTTGCTAATAGTTTAGTGAATTTACCAATTAAAGGCTTTGGATATTTCTCAATCATTTTATTAAAAACATTCAAATTATCATCAATTCAATTTTTATTTTTATTTTCCGTAATAGACATTGACCTCTTGCTGAAAGATTCAATGTGCATGGGTAGCGGTTAGGGATGGGCATGGATCGAGTTTTGACAAATCCCCGATTTAAAAATTTTACATCATTCACTTGCTCTGACTTGACCCTTAAAATATATATCCTCCATCCAACTCGAATCAAACCTAATTTTTTTAGATAAAATCCGAACCCGATCTGATCGGATCTGAAATAATAAAAAATATTATTTTTATTCAATAAAAAACAAGGATTTAATTGAAAACATTATATATATAGGGGTATTATTATAATTATTCATAAATATATAAGATAAAATTATATTTTTTCCCGGGTCGGGTCGGGTATTTTCACTCTAAACCCGAATCCGACTCGACCCGACCCGAACACCACCTTTAAAAAACTTGATTCGACCCAACCCGAACCTAATTTTTTTTTCCAAAAAACCAATTCGATCGGGTCGATACCTGTAGTGTTGGATCTCATGGCCATCAACTAGCGGTGGTGTTAAAGAAAGAAAAAGGAGAACCATTAACAATAGAAGGGAATTTTTAAAAAGAATTTAGGTTGTCCATTGCCTTAAAAATTAAACAATATGAAAGCAAATGTTGAACTTGAAATGATACCAAATACAATGAGGGAATATGTCCAATGGAAAATTGATATCAGACTTAAAAAGAAAGGCTACTTTTCTCTTAATAAAATATTCCATACATGATTTTTCTTCGAGGGTGAGAATTTTTTCCCTTTCTAGAAGTAATAAAGCATTCATACGATAGGAAGAGAATAAATTTTTTTTTTGGATCTCAAATCTAATATCATTTTTTATTATTATAAGAGTTGAGATTTACATAAACATACATATAATTCTTGCTATACGCAACACTGATATCCTGGTGAAGCAAATTTTATTTGGGAATTTTTCTAGTAATTCACTGTTGCTTTGATGGCGTCCAATATCTTGTTCTTGGTTGGCATATAGAAGGGTTCAAAAACAAGAGGGAATGGGGTGTCCAGGCCACACACTCTAGCTACCGGAGCTTCTAACCTTAAGAAGCAAGATTCAACAATGGAAGCCGAGATCTCTCCACCAAATCCTCCTGTAACCGGAGCTTCATGACTAATAAGAACTCTTCCAGTTTTCCTGACTGAGGCTTCAACTGTTTCTTTGTCCCAGGGAATTAGAGTTTTCAGATCTACAAGTTCACAAGAAATTCCATCCTTTTCTGCTTCAATACAGGCCTGTTCCATGATGGAGAGTTGTGCTCCCCACCCTACCAGTGTTATATCACTGCCTTGTCGAATGACCTCTGCCTCTGATAGAGGCAACATATAATCATGCTCAGGCACTTCTTCAACGGCCAAACGGTAAAGCCACTTTGGTTCAAAAAATACTACAGGGTTTGGATCACGAATGCACGACAACAGTAACCCTTTTGCTTGCCGTGGGCTACGAGGAATGACCACTTTAATGCCAGGAACATGGCAAAAGAACGCTTCAGGTGATTGAGAGTGGTAATGTCCACCATGACCCACAGCGCCATAAGGTGCTCTTATTGTCAAGCCTCCACAATTGAATTGGTTGCCACTCCGATACCTAAACTTGGCAGCTTCATTTACAATCTGATCAAAAGCAGGGTAAATGTAATCTGCAAATTGGATTTCCGCTATGGCACGATTTCCCATGGCAGCTAGGCCAATTCCAAACCCGACAATACCCTGCTCACAAAGGGGAGTATTGAAAACCCTAGCTTTACCAAATCGATCAGCGAGTCCGGTTGTGCAACGGAAAACCCCACCAAAGCTAACATCTTCTCCAAAAACAAAGGCACGAGGATCAGTTTCAAGTGCAACGTGAAGGGCTTGATTGATAGCAGAGTAAAGGTTGATGGATTTAGAGTTGCCGCTCTCAACATCGCAGGTGGCAGTTGAAAGTAGCCTCCTCCCCATAAGCCCAATCCTGACCCTTTTGCCCATAATATTTCTCAAAGCCATCTCTCTCTCTCTCTGCAACAAGCAAACGAAATGCAAGAAAACGAATTTCACTATGAACATATAAAGAACACGGATTCAAAAAGGCTGTAAGTTAAAAGGGCATCAGAATTGCAGAAAAACATCAAAGCTTAAGAAGCCAATCAGTACCGAAAGAGGTATTTTGTGATTGATATCCTCATTGCCCACAACATCAAACCAAATCTCTTATTTTAAATAAAACAAACAAAACAGCTATGTGAGTCTCATGGCCAATCCCACATGATAAAAGCCTCAACGCCGCTCCACAAGGCGATGGAATATGAGACTGCCGTTGACAGAGGAAATCCCCCAAAGGAGGACCATCAACGTCGACTATCATTACTATACAACGTTATCTTTGAGATATACAAAGATAATTTATCGATTTGCCTCAAATGAAGAAAAGGATTTTGATCCCCCGTCATATTCAAACTACCATCAGTAAAACCAAATCAAAGCTACATAGTGTGAAATTAAAAAAAATTGGAATATACGTCCCATGGCAAGTCCAAAATGGTAAAAGCAGCGACGCCGCTTCATAAGGCGATGGAATATGAGAGACTTATCGATGGGGGAACTACCCAAAGGAAGCACCGTCTACATCAATGATCATTTTTATATGACGTTATCTTAGAGATATACAAACAAAATCAGGTTTGCCCCAATTCAAAGATTAGGGTTCCAAACGCCCCCCCAACAGTAGATTTATCACAAAATCATGAAGAAGAAAAAAAACAATACGTAAAGTAGGAAATAAATTGGGAAAAATACAAAAATTTGAAACGCTTTATGCAAAAAGTAAGCAAGAAAACATACTAGTAACTTTTCCTACGCAGATCAACTTTAAGCGAAACGACTAAAAGATTTGGACGCGAATATTGAAGAAAAGAATCTACTGGTGCTAACGCAGGAGGTGATCTTGTGTTGATTTATAGCCCTGACTTAGTGGGCGCCTCTCACTAGGTTTTGCTGTTGTAGAATTAAGAATCCAATATATTAATGGAGCACAAAGACCTAAATTTCAGATGGCCCAATGCGAAAACCCAATAGCTACATATTTTATGGGTTTTTCCCCCTTGATATATATGACCGAGTGCACCTTTATATTTTGGACTAATTACTCGTGTACAGTCAAATTAAATAAATATATATATATTTATAACAATCAAAGATTATGTACTAAAATTTAAATTAATTTAATTTAATTTAGTTTATATTGGAACAAATTAGGTTTGATTTAGGTTAAAATTGAGACTACTTTAGATTGAACTAAACTAGGATTAATTTGAACTTGGGATATTAATTTGTTAAATATGAACTATGTTTAAGGTTTAGGATAAAAGTGTGACGTTTAACTTTGTGATAATTTCATTTTTTTTACATTTTTGTTCCTTTAATTGATATCACGTCATATTATACATTTCAATTCTTTTTACACTATATATAGTCACTTCGGAAGTAAAAGAATTGTTCTTATTTTTTAATGTCCTGAGTTCGAACAGCGGAAATGTTATGGGTGTGAAAGTTTAATGTTAAATGGTTGAGAGTTATTTTTAAACAAATATTGTTTTATATATATATATATAAAATAAAATACGACAGTGTAAATCAATATCATTCTATTTAATTCCAACAGTAAGACTAGGGATGAGACTTGGCTTGTTAAATTAGAAGCATCAAAGTATTGTTAATATTGGCAGTAGCAATCTTTGCTTACTTTTTGGAGAAATAAAAGGCACTTATCCAAATAAAATCGAAGAGAGCCGTTGGGTTGATTTGGCAGTAAAAGCAAAATCCCATTCATCACATGAATTCAACCTCAAAAGAAAAAGTAAAAGGCAGTTCAAAAGGACGTCCTATAATTGTCATGTCCTAAAATTGATGGTGTCTGTGCGACACAGAAATTTGTGTTGAACCTCAGACAGCTACATTTTACTACTCTAAACATAGTAAAAAAAGGAGTTAATTTAAGACAATGGCAAACACCATTAAAACACTGTCAACATCGGCTTATTCAACGTTGAAAACAAAGAAGATTTAACTCGTTCACTTGGAATTAATAATCATTCTGCAACTACACAAATCAAACAGTTCACTTGAACCATATCAGAGGCCGTCACATTTGGTAAAACCTTCTTGTCTATTTATAGGATGAGACCATACAATTCGAACAAAGGAAACAAGTGTCTAATTCTAACTTACCCTTTTTTATTTTGTTATTTTCAACAAGGGAAATTTCGTTTTGCATTTGGGACAAGATGGCGGAAGGTGGTGGCGCAAAAGCAGACGAGATGGAGTTTACTGAATGCTGGAAGACAACATGGAGGACTCCTTACGCTGTGAAGCTTGCATTGTCGGCTGGAATTGGAGGGCTTCTATTTGGTTATGACACAGGTAAAAAGCGTCTATAACATTTACCCACTCTCATAATTCTATTTACTGATATAAATGACCATTAATGTTGGATTCCAGGAGTTATATCGGGTGCTCTACTTTATATCAGACAGGACTTCAATGAAGTTGACAGGAAAACATGGCTACAGGTTAGGACCGGTGTTTGCGGGAGAAATTAAGAGGAAATATTGTTGATAACTTGATGATGATGACGTTGTTGCAGGAAACCATTGTGAGTATGGCTGTGGCGGGTGCTATATTTGGAGCCGGATTTGGAGGGTGGATAAATGACAGGTTCGGGAGAAGAATATCGATTCTGGTTGCTGATATTTTTTTCTTTGTTGGTTCCATGGTGATGGCTGTTTCTGTGGCTCCATGGATGATTATTCTTGGAAGGATTTTCGTTGGTTTAGGTGTTGGAATGGCTTCTATGACCGTACCTCTTTACATATCAGAAGCTTCCCCTGCTAGAATCCGCGGTGCACTTGTTAGCACCAACGGCTTGCTTATTACAACAGGGCAGTTTCTGGCTTACGTAGTCAATCTCGCATTCACTCGTGTATGTCATAAGCATTCACTCGTGTATGTCATAATGACCATTATAGTTCGAAATTTATCATCTCTTATTGTCTCAAGTTCAAGTGTAGGAATGTTGGAGTCAACTTCCACTTCAATTACAACAAATTTTTATTGTGTTTCAGACTCCAGGAACCTGGCATTGGATGCTTGGTGTAGCTGGACTCCCTGCCCTGGTTCAGTTTATGTTGATGCTGACACTTCCCGAGTCTCCTAGATGGCTTTACAGACAGGTTAAAATCTTGTCTGATTGATGTTTATGAGGCAATAACAATTATGATGATGATATATTGTTCATTATGTTCACTTCAGAACAAGGTGGAAGAGGCCAAGGCCATACTGAAAAGGATATATTCTGCTGACGAAGTTAACGAGGAGATTAATACTTTGAGAATCTCTGTGGAAACTGAAAAGGCTGTCGAGCAAGAGATTGGGGACTCTATGAAGCAAAAGTTGAAGGGTGCTTTTGGAAACGTTGTAGTCCGAAGGGGACTTTATGCCGGGGTGATAGTCCAGGTGGCTCAGCAATTCTCAGGCATCAACACGGTGATGTATTACAGCCCAATGATAGTTCAGTTCGCAGGGTTTGCCTCGAACAAGACTGCAATGACACTTTCTCTGGTCACTTCGGGTCTTAATGCTCTTGGGTCTGTGGTGAGCATGTTTTTTGTTGACAGAACCGGGCGGAGGAAGATGATGCTCATTTCAATGGCGGGTATCATCGTATGCCTCCTAGGGTTGTCCGCCGTGTTCTGGCAAGCTTCCCTCCACGCTCCCAAGATTGACCCGTCGGAATCCACGAAATTTGTTGCAAATGCTACATGCCCCAGTTATACGTCAGCTGCTAATCCAGCATCATGGAACTGCATGTCTTGCCTTAAAGCTGAATGCGGTTTCTGTGCTAATAAAGCTAATCACGTAAGCACATTTTACCTCTCCAATTCTTTTACACTCGTCAAAACCATGTACCATATTCATATTCACTTGGTTTGTTGTTCTTCAGCTTTCTCCAGGAGCTTGTCTGGCGGCGACTACAGAGCTAAAGGATGGATGTCAGGGGGAAATCGTACTTGGTTCGAGGTGGGTTGTCCGAGCAAAATAGGGTTCGTGGCAATCATACTTCTAGGTTGTACATCATTTGCTTCTCCCCTGGCATGGGAACTGTGCCATGGATTGTCAACTCTGAGATCTACCCACTCAAGTATAGAGGTTTGGGTGGGGGGATAGCTGCCATGTCCAACTGGATCTCCAATCTCATTGTCAGCGAGACTTTCTTGACCTTAACCAAAGCTATTGGTTCAGCTGGAACCTTCCTCCTCTTTGCTGGGTTTTGTACGACTGGCTTTATTTGTATCTACACGTTTGTTCCTGAAACTAAAGGACTTCCGTTCGAGGAGGTTGAGAAGATGCTAGAGACTGGTTACAGACCCAAAGAATTTAGGAGAAAGTCCAGGGGTAGCCCCACGCCTGCTTAGTTCCTAGGCCTTGGCCTTCATATCAATTGGCTTGTTTGAGTATTGTAATTCCACCCGATTTCGGTTTTACTTTTACTGTCCATTGGTAAACTTATAATGTTGTTGTACAAGAAATCTTATTAATGAAAAATTTCTTGATATCTACTCCCACAAAAGGATTTTCAGTTTATAATTCATACGTTCCACCGTTTTCTTTTGCATATTCTATATAATGAAGTCTCCACAAGGTACAGTATGACAAAACACATTTGTTTTGCCAGCTAATGCATGATAAATAATAGAAGAGCTTTCATCCTGCAAAATTAACTTTCAACGAATACATCAATTGTCGATATGAAGAAACCATTACTTGATGTTCGACGTATAAATGCATACGCAGAATTGATGCAAAACTAAGCATTTTACATGAGATACATGTTGCATTTTATGGTGAAGGTAACAATGTTTAATCAACAAAGTAATTCAATCAACTATAAGGACCAAAATTTTAATTTTCTTTTCTTAAGAATAATGCTTATGTAAATTTTTTTATTTTCTTTCTTTTTTTTCCTTAACACATTAGGTTAAATTTAATCATTTTTCTAAAATAATAAGATGCACTTGGCCCCTACGATGTTTAATGCATCCTCCCGACTATAAGCATCTATTACTGCTCTTGCTTGGGTTGTTAGTGCATCTTTCTTGCCTATGTTAGATCCGTTGATAAGAAGGAACACCAAAGGTGGTATCGCCCCACATGCTTGTTGCGGAAGACGGTTATCGGATAGAGCAAAATCACAACTAATAATTTGAGAAAATAAAATGAAGATAAAAGAGACACAAAATTTACGTGGAAAACCCCTAAATTTATAGGGTAAAAACCACGGGCAATAGTAGAAGAATTTCACTATGAGAAAATAGGAATTACAACCTCTCTTATCTACCAAGAGAAAACAATGATAATTCTCTCTTGATAAAAAAGGAGAAAACAACTCTCAAGAAATTCTCTAAATTCTCTTTAGTATTGGAAGAAAGCTAGAATGCTTTGGGATTGTTTTGAAGCTAAATGAGCTAGGGTATTTATAGTTGAAACCTAAGGACTAATTTATAAATATCCTAAAGTTTAGGGATTAATTTAGTAATTATCCCTTTATTTTTTTCAACAATTTGGTTACCTAATTTTGACTACATTAGCCGCCCAAAACCATTTTTCAAGCCGCCCCATTATTATTTGTTTACTTTCAACAATCTCTCACTGAAGATTTGATTAGAACAATCATATCTTCACACCATTCTTTCTACCTTGTACCATCATGTTGTTTACGTTTCTGACAGTCCACAAGAAGATCGACACCAAGTAAATTTATCAACATTGATTGCCTTCGTCATGAAATCTGCTATGTTGTCTTTGGTATGGATCTTCTGCATATCTACCGTCCCTTCTTCCACCTTTTCACGAATGAAATGGTACTGAACTAGTATGTGCTTTGTCCT